CATATTGGAACAGATCCATATTTGTGGTCATTCCAGAGAAAGGTGACCCAACAGAATACAGAGATCATTGAACAGTATCCGTATCACATGCAAAGTAGAATCTTGCTGAAGATAATTAAAAAACACTTGTAGCTGTACATCCACAGGGAGCTGCCATAAATTCAAGTGGGATTCAGAAAAGGATATGGAAAATAGGTTATCATTGCTGATGTCATGAATCTTGGCTGAAAGCAGTGAATGCCAGAAAGATTTAAAAGAGTAAAGATGTCTCTTTGAGAACTAAGGACAAAAATACTACCCAAGCCATGGTATTTTCAACCACCTCATATGCATGTGAAAAGGAAGACTACAGAAGAATTGATGCATTTGATTTATGGTGTTGGAGAAGAACATTCAAAGTACCATGGACTTCTAGAAGAACAAACAAATCTGTCTTGGAAGAAGTCCACCAGAATGTCCTTTAGAAGTGAGTATGGCGAGACAGACTCTTGTACTTTGGACATGTCATCAAGAAGGACCAGTTCCTGAAGAAGGAGTAGAAGGTCAGCAAAAAACCCAGTAAGACCTTTAACAAGGTGGATTGACACAGTGGCAGCAACAAGGGACTGAAACAGTAACAATTAGGAGGCTGGTGCAGGACCAAGCAACATTATGTTGTGCATAGGGTCACTGTGAGATGGAACATCTAACGACAATTGGCCATTTTTACATCTTCTTGAAAGAAATGCCCCAATATTAAAAATAATGTTCAGTACAAGAAGCCAGATAAAAGGCCATATCTGATTCCATTCATATTAAACATGTAGGAAAGGCAAATCGATAGAGACCCAAAAGCAGATTAGTGGTACCAGGGGCTCAGGCAGAGGAGGTATGTGGATGAGGAAGGGCAGCTAGTGGGATGAGGTTTTTCTGGGGTAATAAAAATGCTCCAGATAGTGCACAACTTTGTGAGTATTTTTTAAACTACTAATTGTGTATTTTAAAAGAGTGAATGGTACATGAGTGAATGATACTCCAACTTTTATAAAGTTCCTTCCTGTATTCTCTATCATTATTCCTCTAGGAAAGATGAAATTTAGGGGCTAGATGATACTAACTGTATACAGAGGATAGCAAAAACAAAGCAATTGCTAAAATATACACTGGTATGCATTATTTAACCTCCTTGATCCCATAAGGTTTTTTTGTTTTTTACGGGAATACAGCTCTCTATTTGCTTATTTCTATGGAGTCCTTGTGTGACACCACAGGATAAGAACTGAACTGCTAACTACAAGGTTGGAGGTTCAAACCCACCAAGTGCTCCTCAGAAATCCTATACAGGATCGCTATGAGTTGAAACCAACTCAATGGCACTTAACAACAACAACAAATGGTTTTAAAGACCCCCACACCCAGACTCTCTTAGCGCTAGACCACAGGTGAGACACAGGCAGATAAAGCTAGAGGACATGGCTCTGGATGCAGGTTCTTAAGCTTTATCCAGGGGACATCTGCCACCAGCGGCAACTGGGGGAGGGGCGGGGTGGGGAAGGGGGTGATGCCGTGGGGCCTGGGGGGCTCTTGCTGCACAGGAAGGTATGACAATGGGCGGGGCTGGGTACACTGGATCCTACCCATACCACTTCCGCTTGCTCTGCTCCCACTACTGCAGCCAATGTCCAGGCCATTTGGCCAGCCTTCCGCAGTGGCCTCTGCAGTGGCTCCAGCAGCAGTTCCTCTGGTGGAAGTGGCTGCGGTTTAGGCGCCCACAAGGTTTTCACATGGTGCTCACACAATGCTCACAGACCATAGCATGGATGTTAGGAGTCCTGCTGTAGCACTATAGGATACACACTGGACTGCTAACCATAAAATTGGTAGTTCAAACCCACCAGCTGCTCCTCGGAAACCCAGGGTCACTATGAGTTGGAGGACACTTAACAACATCAATATCATGGACATTAAGTAATATATATATATATATATATATATATATACATAGAGAAGGAGCTCTGGTAGCGTAGTGGTTACGAATCGGGCTGCGAACCTTAAGGTCAGCGGTTCGAAACTACCAGCCGCTCCGCGGGAGAAAGATGAGGCTTTCTACTCCCGTAAGGATTTACACCCTCGGAAACCCTGTACAGGGTCGCTATGGGTCGGAACCGACTCGACGGCACTTAACAACAACAACAACAACATATACATAGAGAGAGAGAGAGACAGAGAGACAGAGACAGAGAGACAGAGACAGAGAGACAGAGAGGCAGAGACAGACAGAGAGACAGAAACAGAGAGTCAGAGACCTAGTGTTGCACTGTGGGTTAATGCGCTGGACTGTTAAGTCGGTTTGAACTGCAAGGTTGGCGGTTCAAGCTCACCAGTTGCTCCTCAGAAAACTTATACAGGGTTGCTATGAGCCAGAACCGACTCGACTTCACTTAACAACAACTATCTATCTATCTATCTATCGTTGTTGTTATGTGCCATGGAGTCATTTTTGACTCATAGCGACCCTGTATAGGGTTTCCAAGGCTGTAAGTCTTGACGGGAGTAGAAAGCCTCATCTTTCTCCCGCGAAGCGGCTGGTAGTTTCGAACTGCTGACCTTAAGGTTCGCAGCCCGATTTGCAACCACTACACTACCAGAGCTCCATACACACACACACACACACACACACACACATATGTATATATATATAAAATTATAAGCAGTAAAGAATAAGATACAAGTACAGTTAAGAAAAAAGATTGTATTTTCCTTGCAGTTTTCCAAACCAGTATTGATTCTTCTGCATTCTTTTATTCTCTAAATTTGAGAAGGTTGAGGAAGAGGAGTTATATACCACCATCTGATCCCCTTCCCTCATAACTCTGATTAATCTTTGAAGCTGTTACCTCCACTTACGAAATCACTGGACTCTTCCTACATACCTAGTAGCAAAGCTAATTGGAACATAGCTCTTGCTATGACAGTCTTTCTTTTAACAGGTGTTTCATACACGAGAATGAAATAGGAAATTATTTGAAAATAATTGGAAAAACCGGTATTGACATTCTACATTCATCCCTCAGAGATTCAGATTTAGATTTTAGGAACCACAGTACCAGGAACTTGACACTTGGAAAGTTCTGCACTTCTACCTCATTATCTTTGGTGTAAGAGATCCAGCCACTGAATCAATCCAGCTCAGTGAGGGGCTTCTTCTTTTTCATTGATCCTCTACTTTACCAAGCATGGTGTCCTTCTCTAGAGACTAGTCCCTCCTGATAACATGTCCAGAGTCTATCAGATGAAGCATCTCCATCCTGACTTCTAAAGAGTTATTCTGGGTTTACTCCTTCCAAGACAGATTTGTTTGCTCTTTTGGCTAATTATGATGGTGGTGGTGGTATGCTATGGAGTCAGTTCTGACTCATAGCAACCCTGTATAGGGCTTCTGAGGCTATAAATCTTTAAGGGAGCAGCAGAAAGCCTCATCTTTCTCCCACGGGACGGCTGGTAATTTCGAACTGCTGACCTTGAGATTAGCAGCCCAACTCTTCACCAACGCCATAGTTCAAACACAGTGACATTGCTGAGGGGTGGAGAGGGATGGGGAGAAGGTTTGGAAATGCACCTCCTGACATCAAAATGACCCTAGTGTTTGGAGGGGGGTGCAGTGAGGTCTGGCTGGTGCCACAGAGGGAGGAACCAGCAAGGCTGTGGTGTCGCCAGGGTTTGTGTTCTTGCCTTTGTCGCCCCCCTCCCCCCCCCCCCCCTTTTTGGTGAAGAGGAAGGTCTCTGCCTTGGCTAGGGCAGTGGGGATGTGACACCAAGAGGTACCTCACTGATACCAACCCTGGTGAAGTCATTGCAAATGCATCAGTTTTTCTGTCTCCCTTATTCATTGTCCAGCCTTCACAGGCATATGAGCTGCAGTTACCATGGCTTGGGTCTTTTGTAGCAGATTTCCATAATGCAATTGTTTAAGAAGCCCTGGTGGGTTTAAATGTAGGACTGCTAGCCCACCAGTTGCGCCCTGGAAGAAAAATAAAGCTCTCTGTTTCCATAAAGACTTACAGCCTCAAAAAACCACGAGGAACAAATCTACTCTGTCCTATCCTATAGGGTCAACTTGAGTTGGAATCAGTCGACTTGATGAGTTGGAATCGACTTGATGTCAGTGGATTAATACATCATTTGATTTCTTGACTACTGCTTCCATGGACATCGATTGTGGTTCCAAGTACAATGAAATTCTTGACAACTCCAATCTTTTCTCCGTTTATCATGATGCTTCTTGATTTGGGGGTTTGGAGATATGCTAGAAGGGCACTAGCTCCCTTGCAAAACTCAGAAGGGAAACTGAGGTTGCATTTGTGTGTGACTAAAGCAAAGGTTGTTGTTGTTAGGTGCCATGGAGTCATTCCAACTCATAGTGACCATATGTATGCACAACAGAATGAAACGCTGCCTGCTGGTCTTGTGCCGTCCTCACAATGGCTGCTACTTCCTACTAGTAGCAGCCATACTGTTCCTATCACTCCATGCGCACTCTTAACATTATCTATCCTGGAATGAATATGGTATTTTAAGCTTAGAAAAGCTTCAGCTGGGAAAGGTCATTGTCCTTTCAAAGTCAAAATGAATACAAAGGAATTAAGAGGGGGAAATGGGAGACAGTTGGAGAAATGAGAAAAAAGGGGTCTGAGGAAAATTCATCAGGTAAAAAGGAGCAATTACATAGATTATATAAATGCCATCAGTTCACATAAATGTCATCTATGTTGGCTTTCCCACAAGATCCCAGGAAAGGGAGAGATTTAGGGAAGCCTTCTACTTCAGACATGTGTGACTAGGATTCAGGTACAACAATTAGAAAAATACCAACAATAATAGAATCTTCCATTTACATTGTGTTTCACCAACTGCAGTGCAGTTTTTTACCTGCTGCTTCTTCCAGTTCACATGTCCCAGAAACACGTCTCTTGTTCCATGCTCATGCCCTGGGATGTCCCCAAAGTCTGCAGACCACGTACCTGTGTGTACTTGCGGAAAAACACCCCTTGCACCTTCCCAAAAATTTCATAATCCACAGATATCAGGGTGTCCCCTTCTGCCATGCTCAAACCTGCCAGAGATCAGGAAAGCAGAAGAGTAAAGGACTATCCCAGGACCCTCCATCCTGAGGCAAAAAGGGCCACACCAACACCTGCTCATCCTAAACCACTGCAACCCATCTGCACCCCAAGCTCCCCCAGTCAGCGGATCCTGTGTGTATACGTGCGCAGTAACAAAGACACATCTGGACGTGAGAGCTGCTGGTCACCACTGCCCACAGAGGGTACTTTGGGGACAATTACCTGGTAACCCCACCTCATTTATAACCATTCTAAAAGAACCTCCTGTCGCAGTGACTAAAGCACCCCCCTGCTAAGCGTCACTAGAACCAGAAGGGACTCCATGGCATTGGGTTGTTTTTTTGCTATACTTATTCTGATCCCGTTCCTTTCAATCCCTTCCCACGGACCCGGCTTCCACATGACCGTCAGAATCCCTCTCTGCTAACAGTTTAGGGCTAATCGAATTGACAGGTACGCCCTGGGGTCCCGTCCAGGGCTCACCCTCCTTGTCTTCTTCAAATACCGCCAGAACCACCCAGGTGACTACCACGCCAAAGACTTCCCAGGCGGCGCCAACCGCCGCGTCCGGAAGCTCAGACTGTCGTTCTTCCTTGGCTGGGTTTCATGCCCATCACTTCAATTTGACCAATCAGGATGGCGTATTCGTCCCAGAGCCCGCCCACAAGGTGGGACTTCAGGACACAGTCTTTTGCCCGCAGACCGAGCCTAATGTTGGGGATCTGTCCAGTTGTCCGCGCGGATTCCACGGATGGTGCCCTCACCCTCGTGCAGTCTGTCCTCCCCGCCGCAGTCACTAAGCGGACCCCTTTCTTCAGTGGCTAATGAATAGAAATACATAGATGAAGGAGCACTTAAGATTCATAATTTGTTGAGAGCCAACTATGTGCCAGGCACTGTTCAAGAAGCCCGGCACACATTAGTGAACAAACAGACAGGATCCCTGCCCTGGAGGAGCTTAGATTCTGCAGGTGGGGGGACGATAAACATAAAACATCATAGACAAATACATTAAACAGGAAACATACAATATTTCTGCCCTTTATTTCCAGTTCTCCCTAAATGTTGGGTCATGCCTAGGTCTGGAATTGGAAGCAGCAGGAGCGATAAATGTACAAGAGGTCCCAGTAGAGGTTATTTCTCCCTCTGTGTTCTGGAAGCTGCCCAACAGAGTCTAACTTACTAAGAAAATTTCAAATAACCCTTGTCTAAAAAAAGAAAGTAAAGGCACAAGGAAAATAACCATGGTTCCAGAAGCACAATTGAGTCAGTCAGTCAGTCTAAGGCCAAGAACCAAATTGCATGAGTTTACTTTGGGAAAAGAGAATTGTCTAGGGAGATTGTGGGTTAGGCTGGTTAAAATTAGGGTCCACTTGTAGGCGTTTGAGTCCAGCTAGCTTTAGGATTAACAATATGTAGGAATGCGTGTATTTCTCGTTCCTCCCTTCATACAAACAGCCTCGGAAACCCTACACAGAGTTGCTATGAGTCGGAACCAACTCCACAGCACATAACCAACAAACTAACCATATCTAAGTATGCCAGGCTGTCAGGTTTGGTGAGACAGGTTTGCAATTAAGGCCATGGAGATTCATCACTCCACGATAAGGAGTACTGGTGGTGCAGTGGATAAGCACTTGGCTGCAAATGGAAAGGTTGGTGGTTCAAACCCATCCAGCAGCTCAGAGAGAGAAAGACCTGGCAGTTTGCTTCTGTAAAGATTGTTGTTGTTGTCAAGTGCCGTTGAGTTGGTTTTGACTCATAGCGACCCTGTATAAGGTTTCTAAGGAATAGCTGGTGAGTTTGAACTGCCAACCTTGTGGCTGGCTGTCTAGTGTCGATCCTGTGGTTACAGAAAACCCTCCGTGGGGAAGTTTAGAAGGCTAGAAGTCCAAATTTAGGGTGCCAGTTCTGGGGGAAGGCACTCTCTGTCCACTCTGAAGGAAGGTCCTTGCTCTTTTCAACTTCTGTTCTTCCGGTGCTTGGCACCCTGCATGTGGGACGGCATCTGTCATCATTTCCTATACTCCTTTGCTTCTGTGACGAACCTGCTCCTTTTATATCTCAAAAGTGATGAGTTTAAGACACACCCTTCACTGATAGGGCCTCATAAACAAAGAAAATCTTATTCACAAATGGGATTACATCCACAGGTCCAGGGATTATGATCCACGACACATATTTCGGGGTGACAAAAGTCAATCCACAAAGTTCTTGAGAAACATTCATGTGGAGACACTACACTGGCAGTGGGTTAATGTGCTGGACTGCAAGGTCGGTTTGAACTGCAAGGTTGGTGGTTCAAGCTCACCAGCTGCTCCTAGGGAATCCTATGCAGGGTTGCTGTATGTTGGAACTAACTCCAAGGCAACAACTAAGGAGACAGTCAGAGCTGTTTATTAACTAAACAGAGATGAGAGCTGAAATCTCAACATCTGGTTGAGATCATTAAAGGGGACAACATTAAGAACTCAGAGAGACTTTGGAAAAAACCTAGATGTAGAAGGCAGGTGGAGGAAGACATAAATGCCAGAGATCTGGTAGAAAATGGAAAGAGGACATGGAAGAGGAAACTGAAAGGGCACGGAAGCACTGAGAGAAGCGTTCCCAGGGGGTAAGTAATCACCAACATCAAATAAGTGGGCTATGAAACAGAAATGTCTGTCTTCAGTCACTGGTATATCACTGGTTTAAGTGGACAGGATTGAAGTCAGACTGACAATGAAGAGATGAGAAAATGGGGGCAGCCAAGGTAGAGTTTTCCATTAAGTCTTAATGATAAAGAGATCTTGTGGAGAAAAGGTGAAGTGAATGACAGCCTTACATGAGAAGCATCAAGTTAAGTGAAACGAGGTTTATTTTGCAGAGGAAAGTTAAACGTATTTTTAAACCACAGAGAAGGAATGTGTGAAAAGATAAAACTTGAGTTTAACAAGTTGTTGTTGTTGTCAGGTGCCATCGAGTCGAAACTGACTCATAGTGACCCCATGCACAGCAGAATGAAACAATGTCCAATCCTGGGCCAACACCACCACCACTGCCACACTTGACGCCATCAATGATGCCACCTGGCTGATCCATCTTGTTGGGGGTCTTCCTCTTTTTCTCTGACCCTCCATCTTACCCAGCATGACATCCTTCTCCAGCGACTGTTCTCTCCTGACAATTTGTCCAAAGTATGAGAGATGAAGCTTAGCCATCCTGGTCTCCAAGGAGCACTCTTGCTGCACTTCTTCCAAAACGGATCTATTGGTTCTTTTGGCAGTCCATGGCACTTTTAGTATTCTCCTCCAACACCACAAGATAGTTAACAAGATGGAGGGGTAAAGTAATCGAGTCAAGTCATGGAAGGTCCTGAAAGGAATTTATTCAAGAGAACATTTGAAAAGAGAGACCCTTCTTCCTCCAAAACTAGGCAGGCAAGGATAGAGGGAGACACACTGAGAAATCTTGCCAGGATGGAGAGAAGCAGGAAGAGTTAAGAAGCAAGAAAGCTAGAGAACTGGGCCTTGGAAGAGAAGATGTCTGGAACTACATTCATGTACATGGCAGTTGTTGTTAAGTGCCACGGAGTTGGGTTCAATTCACAGCAATCCTATATAGGGTTTCTGAGGAGTCACTAATGGATTTGAACCACTGACCTGGTGGTTAGTAAGCCAGTGTTTATCCTACAGCGCCCCACTAGGACTCCATGTAGATGACAGAAGAGTCAGTCTACAAGGAATAAATGGATTGCCCTGGAGGGCCAGCCAAGAAATTTCTTTATAATATGTAATATGACAAGTAGTATTAACACTCGCTATGAGTCGGAACCGACTGCACGGCACATTACCACCACCACCACTGCTGTCTTCATTATTTTCCATGTGCAGGAATCTTTTGAGTACTTATAGGGAAAAAGTCTGTTCCAAACAGCTTACCCAACTGAACTGAAGCTTGAGGAAGACAAACGCTTCTGATGCTAACAATTTATGATCATTTAATATTGAAACTGCTTATTTTCGATCTGGCAGTTGGCTTTGTTTTCATTACATTTGGCTGAGTCATTTCTGGCCCTTAGGAAGAGACGGCCAGGGTTACCACGTGAGAACAAAACATTGTAAAATCAAAATAATTAGATTGGACACAAAAACTACCCCGAAAAGATACTGCGTAGCAAAACCCAGCGGAGTGGCCACAACTGGACAGCAAGCTCCCACCTACAGGGGAAGATGAGCACGGAAAGACAGTGATGCAGCCATACCTGGGGCCTGTGCACTACAGCCGAGGGCGCTAAGAAGGGCTATCAGCAGGCCCACTCCCGCGAGGCCGGGGGACCCTAGAGGGTGGCGGAAGAAGGACTCCAGGGCCCATCTAGGGGCTCCGCCCTTTGCCAGGGCAGGGCACAGTCCAGGGTCTGGGAACATCGTTCTCAGGAAAAATACAAGTTCTTTTCTGAGCGTTCCAGAAAGGCATCTCCTGCCCTTCCCCCGCTCGCCTACGAGTGGCAGAGTTGGCCGGACACGGGTCAAGTGACATTTGTACTAACCACACCCCTCCCCTGGCCCGCCACGCCAGACCGCGCGCCGACTGCGCCGGCGCGCACTTCCCAGTAGGCGCCTGAGGCAGGAGGCGGGACTTAGAACGCTACACGCTCCTGTTTCCAGGCAACGAAAATAACGGAGACCGGCCGAGAGCGCCTGCGCAGCGCGGTAGGTCGCTGGGTCGGTAGTTGAGTCGGAGTAACCTTGGTCTTGGGGTTTGCCCTGAGCGGGAGCTGCCCGCAAGAGATACGGCAGAAGAGAGAGAGAAAAATTGGGTCAGCACCTCAACCTTCCAAGGGGCTGATCTCCCGGGGGAGGGAGCGAGAGATCATCCCCAGAGGAGAAGTCCCCAAAGGGAACACCCGGTGGACCCTCCTGGACAGAAGGTGACTTCCGCATTCTGGATCTAAACGCGGCCGAATCAGGTGGCCTCCACCTCTCAGGTTACTCTTTCCACTGTCAGGCCTCGGGCACTCCTCGGAAGAAGTTTTGACTGTTGGGCTCGTGGCTCTGAATGGCCTCTGTGCTCTTTGGAATCCCGCACGGTTTCTGCAGGAGGGAACCTGGAGAGTATTTTGTGCCAGTTACTTAACTCGGGGCCGCATCATTTTTACTCCTAAGGTACCTAAGTTTCAGTTTTGTAAACTAATTGCCTTCGCTCCTCCGTTTACAGGTAAAGAAACTTGGAGGCAGCAAGAAATCACTTGACCTGTGTCACCAACTTAAAATCCGACTTCCAATCTAATGCTGTTTCCATCTACTCTGGAGTATACTGTGTATGGCAGAGACTGGTCTGGTGAAAAGGAATGTTAGGTTAGGGACCAACACCTGTGCCATATTTATTAGTCTATCTTCAGAGATTAAATGTTGAACGTTTACTTTAGCAGCCTTGAGTGAACCTGAGACAAATCCTCACATGTTTTAACTCTCCCCTAGGCTTCAGTGCAGGCCCTAAATGGCTGGTCTCCAGTTGGCTCTACATCTGCCTGTGGACATTATGCTCCCATATAATAAAACAGAAATTCCAGGGCTCCACTCAGCCAAGCATCACCCTTATGAACAAGGTGACTCTTCTCAGAGCTCCCCAATGGGGCACCTCAGGAACAACATCCCAAGGAAGCTTTTGAGTAACAAAGAATCAATGATGGATAATCTCTATCCTCACCCCAAGTGGAACACCTTCACACAAACCCGGAGCTACTCTTACCTTCACTGTGCTGGAACCAGCCAGCAAGATTTAGGAGCCAATTCCCCAGGTCAAGGAAAGGGTTTGTTTTACTCAGACCCTCAATCGTCTCAGCCCTGGCATGCCAAAGCCAGTAACCTGGACGCCATCCCTTTTACAAAGAAGCGAATTGGGGTGGACCGGGCATACCCACTGAAGCCTGTGTTCCACTGGAAGTCTCGTAGTAGAGGTGAGGCTGGTTCTGATGGGGACCAGAATGTCTCTCCAAGACCCCCTGAGCCCAGAGACTTTTCATACAGTGGCTTTGGTTCAAGGAACCCGGTGAATTTATCTGTGGTTGGTCCTGTTCTTGCTGTCATGCAGGGCCAGAGGGCCAGGGCAAAGCCCGAAAGGACTGAGTGGATGCAAATCCAAAGACTAGAAGCTGCAGGGGAGAGTTTAGAGGAGGAAATCCGAAGAAAGGAGACTCTCCTGAGGGAAAAATTAAAGAAGACAGAGGAGGAACTCAGGAGAATGCAGAAGGAAAAGGAGCAGACTGACAGAAATGAAAAGAAAGAGCTACAGAGAATGACACTCTGCAGGAGAAGAGTTCAAGGTAATAGCAGCAACACCACGTGTAAACCTATTTCCGCTACAGAATTCGAGCCTGAAGAAGTGTTCAGCAGAGACCGGAAAGACAACGAAACCTGGGGACAGACTCAAGAAAATTCTAGTCCATTCCAGTTCTCAGATTATGGACTACAGAGTCTCAAAAGAGAAAGACTGGTGGCAAGCAGTAACAAAATCCCAGACCAAGTCTCAGAGAGGTTTCCTCAGACTTCAAAAGCACCAGGCAATGCTTTGCAGGGATCTGCCATCAATTCTAGGGCACCAGACTCCTCAGGTTCCAACTGTTCTGCTGAAGAGGCTGAACTCGGCGAGTGTAGCCACTGTGGACGCAAGTTCCTCTTGCTCAGACTGGAGAGACACTCGAATGTTTGCAGCAAGATGCAGAGTTCCAAGAGGAAAGTTTTCGACTCCTCTAGGGCCCGGGCTAAGGGCACAGAACTAGAGCAGTACCTGAACTGGAAAGGACCAGCCTCGGTCAAGGTAAACAAGGAGTCTTAGGGGTTTGACTCTATGTATGAGGCACACTGTAAGGGCCTGCTATCTCCTCATGAGCTTTCTTTAGAAAACTGTCGTGTCCTGTAGGGAGAAGGCGAGAATGCTTCAGTAGGCCAGTCACTGTGACAGTAGCTTCTCGTAGCATCCTAATCCCACTCTGAAGATCTGGTTGTTAGTCAGTCAGTTCTGATTCATAGCGACCCTGTGTAGACTTTCTGAGGAGCAGCTAGCTGATGGGTTTGAACTACCAACCTTGTGGTTCACAGGCCAGCGCTGATTCTACAGTGCCACACTAGTAGTCTGAGGATCTAGCTAGTTCTCATTTTATCAATTCCAAAATCCAGGCTCACAGAGGTTAAGTAATTTAAAGTCATGGACAGTTTTTAAGTAATGGCCTATAAATCTGGGTCTGAGTGACTCCAAAATTTAGGATTAAAAACTGGTATGATTATAAACATAATATATTGATTATAAACATAATAAATGTTTACTGTAGGAAAATTAAAAGACCAAAAATCAAATTATGCAGTGTCTCACCTTTGCTCTTTGCCATGTACCATATACTCTGCCACCTCCCTAGACTATGATCTGTCCTTCCTCCTTTAACCTTATGGGGTCCTGGTGTGGCGCTGTGGGTTAATGCGCCAGACTGCAAAGCCGTTTGAACTGCAGGGTCGGCAGTTCAAGCTCACCACCTGCTCTTCGGAAACCCTATACAGGGTCCCTATGGGTCGGAATCAACTCGATGGCACTTAACAACTCTTTCAAGATTAGCTCCATCTTGCTGTACCTTCTTGTAAATACATGAAACACAAGCAAGTCTAGCATTCTTCTCCCCATTTAGAGTGCAAACACCTTTCTTTTTGGTTATCTTTCAAAATGTTCCTAGCTGCGGAAAAGCCAGGTTGTAAAAAAATAAGGATTCTAATAGTTACCGTAAGGAGTTCTGGTAGCGTAGTGGTTATGAGCAGGCTGTGAACCGCAAGGTCAGCAGTTCGAAACTACCAGCTGTTCCACGGGAGAAAAATGAGGCTTTCTGCTCCTGTAAAGATGTACAGGGTCGCTATGAGTCGGAACCGACTTCACGGCACGTAACAATAGTTACCATGCTAGTTTCAGAGAACTTCATAGTCGCATTTGAACAGTCAGATCTAGAAATGGTCTTCTAAATAAGCCCACCTCCCTGACTGTCAAGATTACACAACTGGGTTTGTAAAATGAGTATTTCTCAACATGTGATACACTGACAGACTTAAATTTTTTTCCCCTTTATTGTTGTAGTAAAACATGTATATAATGCATATGCCAATTGACCACTTTTCATGTGTGCAGTTTAGTGACATCAATTATGTAAATCATGTTGTACAATCAGTTACATATATGGAGGGCCAGATTTCCCATCACCACCCACAAAAAATCCACTTCCTTAACAATGGGTTCTCCTTCCTCCCTCCCTCCCATCCCTGGTAACCACTAATAATAAACTGTGGTCTCTATACATTTGTCTAGTCGTTGTGTTTCATAGGACCTCAACAGACATGTTAATAGGTCTAGTAGACCTCAGAAAAATATAACAACATATTAAACCCTTGGATTGAAAGAAAAATATTAGTTAATAATAAAGGAGGTGAAGTGAAGGTGTTACACAAATGACTAAGGCCTGACCCTATGATCTCAAAGACCAGTGCTGCTATTCTAGCAAAATCTGAGTCTCCTGTTTTCCTTTCCTTCCAACCCTGCCTTCTGCTGTCCTTGCACTTCTTGTCCGTCAGGACGCTGCAGTTTCTGTGTATATTTGCTATTGGAAGTATTTTTCTGTTGATGTTATTGCAGCAGTCTGGGAGATTACCACAAGAAAGCTCCTTCTATGTTCAGACATCTCCTATCTAGTTTCCAACAAGGAGCCAACATTTCAGCTCTTGCAGATAGTAATAAGACTACCAGTTCTTGTTCTTTCCTGTTTTCTTTCTGGTCCACCCAGTAAATCACTATTTGTTGTTGTTGTTAGTTGTTATTGAATCCGCTCCAATTCTTGGCAACTTTATATCTAACAGGACTTACAGTCTTACAGCAGCTTCCTGTTTGAGTCCAGTGTCACAGCTATGCAGTGCCTTCCAACTTAGGGGGCTCGTCTGCAGCCCTACATCGAACAGGGCAGGATTCTATTAGGATCCAGAAGGCTTGCATTGGCTAATTTTTGGGAGATCAGCAGGCCTTTCTTCCTAGTCTGAAAGCTCTACCATGGGTGATTCTGCTGATATCTAAAACACTGGTGGCATGGTTTTCCAGCATCACAGTAATATGCAAGCCAACCACAGTATGACAGACTGGTGGTAGTGTCCCACTATAGGAGTTTACTTGGGGCCCATATCTTAAAATAGTTGGGTTTCTGACATCAGACTTCCACATTTATGGAAATTAATATTAGGGGCAAGGTGCTGCCTTAAGGAAATCAAAGCAGAAAGGACCTAGATTGAGACACACTCCCCTCCTCTGAATGTTCCAAGTCCTGCCATAGCTTTCTGCCTTTGGAAGCTGATTATCATTCCTCTAGTGTACTCAACCTGAACAACTGATGTCCTTGTATCCTTTAATCATTACGTATGTGCCTTCCAGACACCTCCTACCTCTAGGCTATAGACTGTAAGCATTTGAGAGTAGGGACCACATCTCACCCATCTTTGCATTGTACACAGATCTTAATGATCAATAAATGTTAATTGAATGAAGTTCCCATACAATAAAAAATAAAACTATAGGAATTGCCCTTAAGGAATGGATCCCAAATTCTTTTCCTTAAAAGTTCCCATTGTGTGTTGTTGAGTTGGTTCCAATCCATAGTGACCTTGTATAGGGTTTCCAAGGCTATAAATTGTTAGGGGAGAAGAAAGCCTTATCTTTCTCCTGCAGAGCGATTGGTGGAGTCAAACCACCGGACCCACAGTTAGGTTAACAGCTCAGTGTGTAACCCACGACACCACCAGAGCTCCTTGGAAGGTTTTCCTGGCTGCTGTCTTTTACACTCTGATTCTCTTGCCTTGTCTGTGTCAGTAATAGATTCTGCTTAGGGAGCCTTCCTTTTCTTTTCATATCGCTTCATAAGCACCGAGCAGTTACTTGCTTCTTTTAAAAAAAACTGTATTTTAATTAAAATGATAAGATGCATGCAGTTTTAAAATTCACATGGTAATAAATGACCTGAAATATAAAACAGCAGTATTCTGCATCTCCATCTAACCCAGCCCCCAGAGGCAGCCCTAAATTCTGCTGGATGCTTGTTCCAGTATGCATAGCCATTATTTTGAAATAATATGCTTATTTTTCTGACTTAGAAAATTTGTAAATTATCTCTTAACTTTCTCTAGGTTATCGTTGTTAAGTGCCATCAAGTTGGTGCCGACCCACAGCCACCCTGTATAGGGTTTTTGAGGAACAGCTGGTGAATTTGAACCGCTTACATTGCAGTTCAAACCAACTTTTCAGTAGAGTATTTATCCTACAGCACCACACCAGGACTCCAACTTCTTCTATGGAAGCTGTGTTAAGCTCTCTTTAATATTCCCTCTCCTGCAAACCACAAGGGCTGTGGTTCGAACCTGCCACCCACTCCACGGGAGAAAGATGAGGCTTTCTGTTCTGGTGAAGATTTAAAGCCTCAAAAACTCTATACAGGGTTGTTATGAGTCGGAATCGACTCGATGGCACTTAAAAACAATCCTGGTAGGCTAAGCATTGGTCTGCTAATCTCAAGGTTGGTAGTTCAAATCCAGCAGCTAATCTTTGGAAACCCTATATAAGTTCACTATGAGTTGAATTATACTTTCGGATTTAATCATGAGTCAGTTTTCACATCCTTTTGACCTTGTAAATTTTGTTCACTAATGAGTGAATTCTGTCCCTGCTCACGAGTTAGTCAATGACGTGTTTTCATTTGCTTGGTTTCTGCATACTTAGTGCTAATTTTTTTCCCTAAATGATCCTTCTGATGCTGCATACCTACTACTATTTTTGAATTTTATTTTTTTATCCTGGAAACCACCGTCCTGGTTTTTACCTCCCTGCCCCAGTCCTGGCTGGCTAGTGTCTGGGTCTGGTAGACCTGTTGTCCTGGAACGTCTCTTCTGTGTTGGGTGTTCTCTTGCTTTGGCTCTGTATCTCCCTTGACTTACTTCTTGTTTTGCTTAAGAAAAGTGCATGGAAAGTATAGATTTTGTCCTTAAATGAGTGAAAATACCTACCGAATAGCCTCACATCTTATTGCTGACTTGACCGTGTACAGAATTCCAAAGGGAAAATGGTTTTCTGTTAGAACTATTAAGGCACATTTCCAATAGCTTTTAACATCCATTGTTGCTGTTAAGGAATCTGGTGCCCTTTTGATTCCTGTTCCATTGCATGAAACCCATTATTATTACTTTTCTGCAAGTTTATAGTTGTTCAGTGTCATCAAGTCGGTTCTGACTCATAGCAACCCCGCATAGGGTTTCCAAGGAGCAACTAGTGGATTTGAACCGCCAGTCTTACAGTGTGCAGTCCATTGCTGATCCTACGCCACCACACCAGGTTTACAGTACTCTCTCTTTATTAAGGAATTTTTACAATGACTATATTAGAAGGCTCTTTCAAGACTTTTGACTTTCAGTTCTAGAAATTTACATTTTATTATTTCTTTTAATAATTTTCTCCGTGTCTTTTGGAATGCCTATTGGTCAGCTGTTGGACCCTTTTGGATGATTTACTAAGTATCCAATCTTTTCTACTTTCCACCTCAAATCTTTTCTCGCACTGAGACATTTTATTGGCATTATTTTACATTTCCATTTAGCTTATTATTTTACAACATTTCTGTTTACTTGTATCTAGTTATGAGATTTTAAACTTGTAATCGTTTTCTCAGATTGTTCTTTTTTGTCTAGTAAACTCATTTTATGGACACAATCCCTTATACTTTGTTAATAAGCTTTTTGCAAAAAGAAAGGTTCCTTCTGCTCTCTGCCTTGGTCACTGCTTCCTGAGTTCAGTTTCTGTTGTTTACTTGTGCTTGATTCAGTTTTTTTTCTTGTTAGAGCTCTCTTTCAGTATCTGGGGATTCTTGCCTATCCATTCATATTTAAGTTTAGGTGGGGCCTTTAGGTTGATCGAACAGTGAGTTTTACTTGGGGTCCACTAGAGGCAGTGCTGGCTTTTCTCAGGAATGTGCACCCTGAGAGGAACTCTTCAATCTCCTAAGAAGATGCTATGTGGGTGGTTCTCTGGGACCCTCTTAGAAGACCGAGTCCCACAATTCCATTTGTACTGAATCCTCATCTTCAGCCTCCAGATGAATCCTGTTGTCCAGTGTGTCTGAATTCCCCGAATCCAAAATCCATCTCGTTCAATTTCTCATGAGAATAAACTCCTGATCTCTTTGTGAGGGTGCTTGACCCTTGGGTGTATAAGATGGGAAAGGGACCTTGTGTATATGGGGTCCATCTTGTTCTCAGCCCTACACTGCCCCACCCCCTACTTCCAAAGCACTGGACCTCTCGGATTCTGTTGCCTATAAGTGGTTAACCCCTTTTGCAGGCCCCACATTTGGGTACATCCACTGTGCTCAGTCAGTTATGGCTGTTGCTCCCTTCCTGTTCTCTTTGACTTGGTGGGCTACCTCCCTTTTTATTTCCTTATGGTCACTGGAGCCTCGGGAATGAGATGAGGTAGAGATTAATACCAAGTTAAATGGCGTGTCTACTGTTATAGGTGGAACCACCTCGGAAGAGCAATTGGAGACAGAAGCACGAATCTTTCATCCGGACCCTCCGTCAGGCTCGAGAGACCCAGCAGGTAATTGCCAAAGGTGGAAAGCCTGCAAACTTGCCCCCGATCTTGCCTGCAGAAAATCCGGACTATATTCAGTGTCCTCACTGTAGCCGTCACTTTGCACCCAAAGTGGCTGAGGGGCACATTCCCAAATGTAAGACCATCAAGAATCGTCCTCCACCTCCAAGGAAGCATTACAATTGAGCAAGTAACAGTGGAAACCTCAGAGAGTTCAGAAGGCTCTGCTCCTCCTTCAGCAGTAAATAGGCGAGGAATTTGATGCAGAAACAAAACTTACATCTCCCAGATCAGCCTGCAGAGCTGGAGTCAGTGAAGAGAAACCCCATTGTTAAACTGCAGGAGGCAAAAGGAAGCCCCAGCTTCCCACTAAGTTACCACCCCAGCTGGTGTGCCTTATGTCACTTCCCCAAGAACTGATGGGCAAAGACACTTGAGTAACCAGCAGCCTTCATTAAAACTCTTTTCATAGGCCTAGTGTGTGGTTTGTTCTGGGTAAGTGCCTGCCTGTGGTTGTGTCTTGTCGCTGCTTCTGCACGTATCCTGTGTTTCTGATGAACTCTTTGTGTTCCTGCAAGATGATGACTTACTAGGATGAGTTGGTGTGAAGGTCAGGGTCACCAGATGGTATCTCACAAAAGATAGAAGATTTTGCCGTAAGGCATTATTAATTGATGTCTATCCTCAACCTCCCTGGTGCTGGCCCAAACCCAACAAAAGCATGTAAGGTTAAGGCACCCATGTTCCTGAGCCTTCCATAGGGTGCCCTGCACAATAATGGAAACCTCATCTTTTTGCGTTTCAGGAGGAAGCACACTGGACTTTATAGAGTGGTTCTTTTGTAACGGGCTTCACATGTGAAACAAGAATCCCTCAGTTTCAGCTGTTGCTTAAACTGCTTTCAAATCAAGTTGGCTGAATGACTTTTTAAATGAGGTAGCAAAATCAGCCATCAAAGCAAGCTGGGACGTTGCACAATGTGACATGTCCCTGCCGATTATACCACTGTAAACTTCTAGCTAAGAGTAAACTTTGCAGGGAGAGGGACCAGTTCTTTTTCATATTCTCCGTAGAATACTGCCTAGTGCATGCGACTTTCATAACTCTTTTTTAGTGCCACTGAGTCGGTTCCAACTCATACTGACTTTGTATAGGTTTTTTGAGGCTGTAAATCTTTGCGGTAGCAGAAAGCCTTTTCTCCCATGGAGCCGACCTTGTGGCTTGCAGTCCAGTGCTTACCCTCTACAACCATTGCACTCCCAACCTTCTTAATTAGGGCCTCAGTAAGTGGGTTTTGGGGACTTTAAGAGTTAAGATGTGGAAGTCCTAGACTTGCAGAATGGGTGTACTGATGAATTCATGTCTGAGGGGTAATAGTAGTTGAGATAGGAGGGATGCAAGCACAACACCTGAAATACTGGTAAGAGTACTATCCTGGGAGCATCACTCAAATGTTTTACTGGAGAAAACCCACCCAATTTTAGCTGAGCAGAGGAATCACACACAACTAAGTCACAGTCAACCACATGGCTCGTTGCTCTTGTTCCAGTCCCCTTTGCAGCTTCTGCTGAGTGGCTAACAGATCAGACCGATTTGAAACTAAGTTTAAGGATTTAGCAGCAAAACTGCAGGCACGAGGCTGGGGGTGGGGAAGAGAAAAGGTTGTGGAGTAATGGAGTTTTTTCATGGAATTTTTGAGGCTCCCTTGTCTGTGAATTGCTTTATGTTTGATTTTGTCTCAAGAGGGATAGAGGTCTCACATATGGGCTCCTTAACGAAACCTCTGGTGACCTCACACAGACACAGTAGATACTTAACTCCCTATGTGCATTCTCCAGTACAAACCCACTGCCTCAGACTGGAAAGGAGAGTAGAACTGCTCCACAGAATTCCCAAGGTTGTCCATCTTTATGGAGGCATACTGTTATCTTTCTCCTGTGGAGCAACTGGTGGGTTCAAACTACTGACCTTTGAGTAGCAGCTGAGCACTTAACCACAGTGCCACCAGGACTCCTTACTTTGCCCCCCAGATATTTTATCTGGCTGGCATAGCATGAAAAATATGACCCAACATTTAAAAATTGGGACATGGAACATCTCTTTAAAAACTAGCAGCTCTGGAAACGTTGGACCAACAAGCCTGCGTAACACCAGCTGATGGGGCTCAGAATCGGCTGCTCCTTCAAACACCCCCCTGGCCCACTTCTCTCACCTATCTGCTGGTCCTCGAGCACTTGGGTTTGGGATCCCTGGAATAATCACTAAGAAGAACAAGTACATGTGAGGAGTAGTTACTCATTCTTACATTTCTAGTTGCTGTTAAGTGCTGTCCAGTCAGTTCCAACTCATAGTGACCATGTATAGGGTTTCTGAGGCTGTAAATAATTACGAGAGCAGAAAGCCTCATCTTTTTCCTGTAGAGCAGCTGGCAGGTTCCAACCACTGACACTGTGGCTCACAAAATCCAGTACTTATCCTAATAGTCAATGCCTCAGTGTTCCCTCTGAACTGTAAATGTTTAATCCTTGACTATACTAGAAATATCTATTGGGCTTTCAAATGTCACTTGATCATGTCTCTGGGAAAAGGTTAGGCTCTTTATTCCAGTGTTGCTGGAGAGTACTCAGAATAATAGTGGACAGAGGAGGAATAAATGCCATTAATTCATGTCCATATTTTATATTTGTCCAAGAATGTTTAGAGCAGGTAAACATTATAAATGTTTAAGTTCAATAGGTTAAGCAATGAGGAAAACATCGCAGAATGAAACTCACATGGAAACTCATTTAAGCATATGCAGATGTGTAGACATACTTAACAGCGATGAAGGTTTTTCAAAATTTAAAGTAGCACTGTTAGCTAACACTGCTTTGTCATTAATTTCTCTTCACAACTACACAGGATGTGACATAGTGTTGTTTTTCCCCATTATGTTCTTGATTCTCTGCAGTTTAATGGTCAGCATGTTTATCTCCATAATTAATCATTGTAGCAATAGATGCTTTTGGAGTTTAAGGCAAGAAGGAACCTGGTTCACAGTTCTAACTACAGCCCACTCTGTCCTGACACATTTATAATACTTTTTTTGAATGAATGAACTTGTTTAACATACATCTTCACTCCTGAGTTGGTCTATTATAAATATATCAGAACCCATGACAAACCAAATGAAATGTGAGTTTAAGGCAGTTTTAACGGTACATCAACAACCATTATGACTTCTTTGTGCTGTGCCAGGGAGATCAAATACAGTTCAGCCTCACCCTCCAGTTCTCTTTCCCATGGGACCTAAACACTGGTCTGGGTGGTCCTAAAAGACGGAAAACTAATATTAAAACGGATCTCTGTGCTTTTCTGGCACATGGGCCAGTTTCAAACAGGTTCTAAAAAAAAAAAAAAACCAGCCCAGCTTCTTTGAAGGAAAGTTATAAACATGAATTGGCATCATCATTCAGGAAAGCCCCCTGAGACCCTGAGCTGAGAAGGGCAGGAAGGGATTCTTTTAATAGCTGATATTTTTCTTCCTCTGTACTTTCAACACAGTAATTTTAGAAGTTTTGAGGGGCAAAAGTTGGGGTGGTAGAAATGACTCTGCCAGCAAATGGGAAAGCAGCAAAAATTTCTTTCTGTGCAAAATGTTCCTTTCCTGGTTTTTTACAAGAACATTTCTTTCTTTGTATCAAGAATCACTGAGTCAGAGATTCACAAAGGCCTCGAATCTGGATGCTTTATGCCCAGTGACTAAGGTCCACACACAAGCTTACTGAGGCATAGCCCTGGTTGAGGGTTTAAATGTTTATTTAAAACAGAAATGTCAAACCACTCCACCCTCAACCTTCCAAACATTTGGCTAACAATAAAGCTAGTTCTTCAGCAATAATGTCAGAGCAGAGCAGTTAACTTGGGTTATATTATAACTCAAAAGCAATACTACTGGAAAACTTAAAACACCTAGCACTGCATAAAGAAGAAATATGGGACAAAACGGAAAAGGGAATTAGCAGCAGAAACTCATTCCAAGGTCCTTCTGCTGCCTCACCTTTCATTTTCATCCGATGCACGGATGCCTACCACCTCGGAACGGCTTTCTGTTTGCATAGCTGTGTGGTGGGGAAAATGACATGGCTGTCCCAGGCACATGGGGGAAAAGTGCAAATTGTCTCTAAGGCACAGAACTTAAATTCTCAGCCAGATTAATAGGAAACCTAGACTTCTTAGGGGAACATGCCAGAGGAAACGACCACGACATTCCACTGCTAGGGAATGATGCCCCTTGGGAAGCTCTTGGCCCTTTACTGTCACTTTCATCCCACAGTTTTAGCAACATGCCTTGTCTCTCCACCACAAGGCAAAAGCAATACTATGATTAACACCCAAACTGACCCTGCCTCTCAGGCCTGCTGAGATGGTGAGGGATACAGGACCGTGAAAGGCCAGTCAGTCCATACAAAACTCCAAGTTGCATTTACATGATAAACAAAAACCCATTGCTAGGGTTTACAGCAAATCCCCAACTATTCAGTATTTGTAAACTCAATCCAGGGATGGCCATTCCCTTATTTTAAGAACAGGCTTCAATGATTCCATTAGTATCATTGTACTAGGCTTCCCAGAATTGAGAAAACAATGGGACCATCATACCCAAGATCCCACTGAGCAGAGGTACCCATCCCTAGCATGGGGTTCCCCCCAAGCAGCAGCCTTTACACCAATGGCTTGAGGGAAACGGCAAATTTCCACTGCACAGGTCCTCCCACAGTTCTAAGGAAATACCATTTTTGTTTTTGGTTTGGGGAAAAATGAAACAAAATTTAGCTGTGTTTGATGAAGTAGGATGTGAGACTCACCAAAGCAGCTCATGACTCAAACTACTAAAGGAGCATTTCACAAGCCTAGGTGGAAACACAAAGCTCATATCCTGAAGAGAAAACATCCACTGCTTGCCCCAGATTCCATCTCTGAAGTTTCGTCCCTTCAGGACACCATTTCTCTCTTAGAGCCAGCTCCTTTGCTCCTGTTTACAAGAACACAGTGAGTACGGGATTAGACGTGAGCTCTCAGCCAAATTTCTTTCACTTGGCAGGTTCCATCAGTTCTGGTAGGCTCCAGGGACTCCCAGAGTTTGGTACCGGCTCTGGATCACTTGAGAGGAGAGGATACAGATTCATTAGTTATGATGATATGGC